TAAATTATTTTAAAAAAAGGTAAACCACCTTAGAAAATTTAGTCTCTTGCAAATTTTGTACTTGTGCTTCTTTTTTTTTGGAATTTATGAGTTTATTTTTTTGATTTTAATATTTGAGCCAATTTGTTGATCACTTGGTTACATGAAAAGGAAAAGATGATTAGACGTACAAGGACAAAGGGTTTATCGGTTTAATGAAAATTTCGTTATAATTTTGATTAAAATGGTCTAGTACTGCCTCCACTAAATTAATAATAATAATAGTAATAATAAAAATAATAATAATGGGTCTTTTAAAAATAATTACGGAGTACTCTTATTTAATTGATAGGAAAAAGTCAAATTTTACAGGTTCTTTACAAAAGTTTTCTATATAAAAAATTATCTCCCGTTTTAAATGGATTCGTTATTAGGGTGAGAATATATTCCAAAGGTGAACCCCTTTTTATTATTCCTTTATTGTTCAAAAAGAGGACTTCCGAGAGGCATGACTAATTCATCAGAAATAATTTCTCCTCACCATAATGTTTTATTAATAATCTAGTTTCTCGACTACGAACATGTTCTTTTGGATTGGAAAAATATAACTGAATAATGAAAGAAACTAAAAAAAGCTAGATAAAATTATAAAAAAATTGAAAAAAAATTGAATGATCGAGTTAGAAAAACTAGAAGAAGTTGAAAAGAATGAAAGGGGTTGAATAAAAATAAAACTGACACATCCGTGATCTCCTGTATAGTTTTGACTTTTTACAGTAAAAACTGATACTCTTTATTTATTAATCAAATAAAATTGACATTGTAATTGATACAAAAATAATTTTATTAGATTTGTTTTATGAAATATTTTTAAAATATTATGTTATCAAATTGATATAACATATAATTTTTATTTAATTATAGGTCAAAACTTGAAATATGATTAATCTTAGAAAGTCAAAAATAGACAAATACATTGATCACAAACCCCTTATCCATACATATGTAACTCTAAGCTAATTACAAGCTAGCCAACTAGCAGACCCAATAATACCAAAACTTAATTACATCAGCTAACATAAACACACATTTTATTTGATTATTTGGTTGCATGGACAATATATATAAGTAGTAGTACACTAACTAGTAGGTGGATATGTCTCGTCAATGCCAAATAAATGTTATAGAACATGTTGACATTTTTTTTTTGTACTCCACCCACCAATTTGGTTTAATAAATATGCGTTAAAAAAATATATGTCAAGTTGTTGTGCATATTTTCATTTATAAAAAATCATGTCTCAAATTAAATTCACATGGTCAAATTTTAGTCACTTTCTTTTCTTATTTTCAAAAGTCATTTGATCAAATAATATAGTTATGTTACTAATATTTTTGTAGATCTTTTGATGTAATATTTAAATGTGTAATTTTTTAAATTGTACACCATTTTTCATATGAAATGATTTGAGAATAACTTTAGCCAAACATTGTAAACTGAAAGAGGCGATTTAAATTGGGGCAGAGGGAGTATTCTCTATTATGTACTCACTCGGTCTAATATCCCAATATATCAGTCAAATTCACATTGAAAATACCTTGAAAAATGCTAGGGGTACGGTACACCTTTGGTGTACCCCAAATGTCCCCTACCCCAACCCACCTTGTCCATAAAAATAGGCAAGAAAATTTTTAAAAAAAAGTAAATAAAAAGCAAATAAAAATGAATGGTTATGGAGGGGATGAGAGACATTTGGGGTACACCAAATGGTGTACCCCTTGCATCACTCAAATACCTTATATTACAATGAAAAATGCTAGGGGTGTAATATCTCCCACCCCCTCCTTGTCCACTAAAAAAGGCAAAAAAAATTCAAAAAAATTAAGTAAATAAAAATCAAATAAAAATGTGTGGAAGAAAAGAGGGTGGTGTACATTTGGGGTACACCTTTTGGTGTACCCCTAGCATTACTCTATTACAACTTATCGCAACTTAGAATTTGATTATTGCATACCTCTATTGCATACAACTTATTCCCGTCGGGTCGGGGGTGAGGGGCGCTCGGGGTGAGCGATTTCACCTTTGGAGAATGGAAAAAATTTGATGATTACCAATAATAAATGCACAAGTACCAATAGGAGTATAAATGGAAGAAATAAATAAATAAATGATTTTATTTTTCCAAAATTTGACATTTTTTTAAAAGTCAGACGGATAATTTATTCTCCATAGTATTTCATCGACCACCCGATTTTGTTTTATTAAATCTCGTGCACATTCAAAGGAGGCACAACAACATGCAACTAGAGAGTACTTCTCTCTCTATTCCAATTTAAATTATCTATTTTTATTTTGCATCAGTTCAAAATCTTTTGTATCTGTTTATATGAAAATCAGTATATTATTTCAGAGTACCCCTCTTATCTACATTAATATTAATCACACATGTTTCATTTTATTAAAAATGGTATCCATACAACCTAATTACTTTTTGTAAAGCCATACAACCTAATTTGTAACAAGGAAGTACCATATGTTAGAACACCTTCAAGAGGTACAAGACAAGTTTCTAAGACTCAAAAGTAACCATGTTTTTGGTTCTACACATGATACACATGCACTTATGGGTCCATATACATACATATCATCATTGTTTGTTCCAAAACCACTCGTGTGAGCGTGGATCAAACCCCACTACAACCTTATTTCTTTATTTTGGTGATTAAAAGAAAGATCAACTTATGACTCTGATAATTATCTGAAAGAAAGCAAATAAAATTTTAATTTCAGACTTGATAACATAGAGTGCAATTAATGATGACCTTACGCGCAACATAATTAAAATCTTACTCTCCATTCACAAAGAGTTGATTCCAGCCAGCCACAACACTCTTTTGCATCCTTGTTGACCAATTGAGCTATATCACACGAGCTATTTTGGTGATATAAAAGTGACCAGAGTCAGAGGACTATCAAAAATATGGTACTCTATATCGTTCAACGTTATTAATCTTTAAACAAGATGTTGGGAAAATACATTATATTATGATACTCCGTATAAATTCAATATTTATAATTTAATTTTGAAACGTGATTATGACATATCCACATATAAATAGATGAATATATTAGTAGTCAAATCGTTGCATTAAAGATCACTAGAAGTGATTAGAAAAAAATTCGGAGTACAAAATGTACCAAAAAAATCGACCAAAAAGTTACTCCCTTCGTCCACAAACAAACTTTACGTTGCGCGTTACGATGTTTGACTGTAGTTATTTTCAAATCATTTTATATGAAAATGGTGTAGAATTGAAAAATAAAAATTACATATTAAAAAACTATATCAAAAGATCTACAAAACTAGAGGTGACATGACTATGTTATTTTATCAAATGGGTGATGAAAATAGATCAACAAAATGAATAAAGTTTGACCCTGTGAATAGTGAACGTAAAATTTATTTGTGGACGGGAAAGGAGTATTTATGAATGTGAGAGTGAATCTAATTGACACTTGCCTCACTCTGGGTAAATAAAACCCCTTATCTGCTCACAGGTCCACAAATGTGAGTAACTACAACCCAAAAATAAGGCAAAGAACGGTAGAAAAATACTCCGTAGTAAAGATGTGTAGTGGTGAAAAAAAGTCATAATAGCAAGCAATTGCTTTAGAAATATAATTTTCAACTAGGGCCATTTTCACACTAATCACTCTTCACCAATATCTACTTTTTTTAATTACCCAAGAAGGTAAATAATTTCGCTAATACCAAGACCTAATAATGGAAGAGCTCTCACTGAGTGCTTATAAAAGTGCAAATATCATGACCCTAAAATACACATTCTCACATATTTAAATCAATAAAAACAAATATATATCCATATTTCTCATATAGATCCGTTGCCCCGTAGGGCTGACTAGAGTAGCTAGAGTATTAAAAAAAGGTGGAACGGCCACCTCGGGCGGCCCCACACTCCGGTCCGACAAGATTGTGAGGGAGGTAAATCATGGTAAAATCTCAATCTGGTCCTTAGAGAGACTGCCCCGTGCTCGGTGCGCACAAAGAGCTATTACAATTAATAGAACTCCCGCACTACCGCTATAGGGATTCGATCCTAGGACCAACATGTTTGGCATCCTCTCCTTGTACCAGTTGAGTAGCTAGAGTATAAAAGCATCACGGGTAACTGTTAAACCCAGGAGTAATATCATAAAATCTCAAATTCCCGTTAGTAATGATGCAAATATTCCTTTGGCATTATGGAAAAACTTTACAAGAGCTGCCTTTGGCTCAAGTATTTTAACAGTTAATCTACGCCATTAAAAAACTAGAACTCTTACAAAAGATGTTCCCAAACGGACCCTAAGTGTGAGTAGAGGATGATCTGTTGTTACACACAGGTTGTCACTAATGAGTGTGTGCATTAATTTTCTATCTACCAATGGGGGGGGTGGTGGGTGTGTATAATGACCAAATTGAAAAAATACAAAAGAGTGAAAGGGATGAGCAAATTGATATGAAAGGGAGGAGAATGCCACCCCCACCAGAGATGACCCACATTTGTGCTGTAAAGGAGTCCCCACCAACCAAGGCTCTATTATTTTCTATAAACCAACTTGCAAAAAAGATTGGACCTTTTTCCTTTTAAGTCAATAAAGAATCTATCAGGTAATTGAGTCCCCGTTTTATGATCCCGGTCCAATTGAGGAACTTACGGTGTTTCATTTGACCCCAAAGTGGTTCCCCCCTCCCCCNACTTGCCTCCCTCATAAGTGACAATCCACGGTCAAACATTTGACAGCGGATTGTCAATCATAGGACTCGGAGGGCACGGGGATGGGTTTGAGGGGGTTTAGAAAGGGTATGAGTCACTTGGGAGTTGAATGGAACATCATGGAGCCCTCAAATCGACCCGATGTCATATTATGGGGACCACGGCTGGGTATTAAAGGAACCCCATTGTTGTAATTAATATGATCATATTAAAGCCAGACTAGCTGGTTGTGAAAGCGAAACCCATTCACCTAACTATGCCGAACAAAACCAAATCCGGTGTATGTGACTCAAGCGTAAATAGAGAGGTAAGGTCCACAATACTAAGACGCAGCCCGATAACCTTAATACATCGTCTCCGTGAACACTTCTAGTGTCAAATTGTCAAGCAATGCAAAAAATAGGAAGGAGAAAATCGATCAGTAGTAGAAGCATATGGCTGGTTCTTAGAGCATTTTAGCTTCGAGTATCTGACCTTGTGGGGCGCTTTCATACAAACACATCACAGAAGGGCAAAACACGCTTTAAGGACTGGTATGCATCACATTCTTCAAGAGGGTGTTGCAGTGGAGGTGCCTGCCTGAGGCGGGATATTAGGGAAGCCAAACTCCTTGAAGAGACCCTGAAAAATTTCCCGGTTCATACATGGATGATTCTAAGCACTATAATGGTTCAGCATTTTAAAAGAAAAAAATACCAGCAAATCGTTGACGGCATAGGCAACACAGTAGTGCTCCTGAAAAAAAATTACTCTGGGTATCACAGAAGTGGTTTATATAATTCATTGAATTAAATTCAGTGGGTTTGATTTACACAAATTTGAGATAAATGGTTTTTATATAGAAAAATTATCGCCGTGAAACTTGTAGTGCCAATCAAAAGTCTAAAATTAGTCAACTCAATAAAATTCATGCAATTTGTTCTTTTCATCTGTATATAAAAACAATCATGACATGATGATGAGTTGGAATAATTGTTAAGGCTTATAGGTTATAGCCATTTTAAAGTTCATATATATTTTCTTGGCACTAAATACATCCATTCAGGCTCGGAAAAGATGTTAACAATCCAAGGTCCTGCAGTAGTAGGCTATGTTTGGACCCACAAAATGCTATTGACAAGGAAGAGGATGCCAAGAAAAGCTATTTTCTTATGTTTTGTTTTTATTTCGGGGAATGCAGAAGAAAATGAAACATGATCTCTATTTTTAAATTTCTTAGATAAGTTTAAATTTCCCAGTATTTATAAAATATAAATAAATAAAAGCCAATTTTGAACAAATTTTAAAACTAAATTTATTGACTTTGATCCGATGTTATAATTTTTCCTCAACATATTCTTCTTTCTAAATTTCAGAATTACCTGCATCAGGTGCCACTCTTCAAACTCATCAAATAATTCCAGTCTCTCAATCCTAATACAGAAGACCAAAAAATGAAAAATCAGGGAATCCCCAAAGTTAAAACATCCAAGAGGGAAAAAATGTCCTTTTTAACTACGAGTATATATAATTTCACCAAAGACAGCCATGCAATTTTATTAGCAAAAGGTGGTTGCAAAAAAGAAGGCAAAAAGTTCAGGTAGACAGGTAATACTCATTTAGCATAGCAATTCAGATACTTGATTTAACATATGACAAATCATCGATTCATCATCATATATTCATATTATCACAACAATTGATTTTGTGAGAACGGTTTGAACAAATAAGAAACGAACTTTGTCCCACATTGAAACAAAGAGCAATGTGTGTATAATTTAGGGGGAGACCAAAACAAATTGGCTCCCTTATGCTGATGGTAGATCCCTTGGGTATGTGGCCATATGCCTATTGAGCATGGAGTTAGTGCAACACTTAAGCCAAGGCATGATGAAACATAGAAAGACATGAAACTAAAGTGAAGAAAAACAAGCCCAAAGTCCGAACACATGACTAGAAAGGCATGTGGTCTCTCAATTTTTTTTGAAGTACAAGCCTAGGAAAGCGAATGTAATGGGGAAAAGGCAGGTCATGACTACTTCAAGACTACTTGGAGAAGAATGTAGTACAGGAGGCTTTGTCCCACACTAAAAATAGAGACCAGAAGTTTAAACTTGAGACCTTAAGGGAAGAGCTAACCAAATTGGTTAAGCCTTTTTTGTATAGGAGATCCCTTGGTCATAGGGCCATGACGCAAAGACTTGGTCCAACACTTCAAGCCTAAGCATGATGAATCCATGGTGCATGAAATCTGACAAGAACCATTTTCTTTTCAAGCGTCTTAATTCTACATTCATGATTTCCTCGAGTTGGCTTGATAAAACAAGGAACTCACCTGCGCCTTTCATGGGTGTCAACAAAGTCAGTATAGACTCGCAGCATATCCCAAGCAATTGCTTTCTAAGCATCCCAATGAAAAAAACAACAATGATTGTCAGAAATCACTCCTTGGTTAGAAATGATGGTTAGAGGCACAACTGAATTGAGGAGTTTCACAATACCTGCCATCCGTGATCCAGAAAAAGGTTTTCTTTTGCTTCTAAAGTGGGTGTATCATAAATTCCTAATAATGCACAGCCTCGACTCTATCACAAAAGTTAAAAACAAGTGTTTTCAGATTGGATAACTAAAATTATAAAGAGTATCACTTAAGTCATTTTGAAGCACCAGGAACCTATCTATCTGGAGCTAGAAAATTGAAGATCATGAGATCATCCTTGTGAATTTTAAAAATTTAAGGAACATAAGATCCATATTCAAATATTTTCATATAAGCTTCATGATCAGAACACTTTTGATGTGTTCCCTTTCATTGATCCACTAGTTCAACTGCATCTTTTTCATTTCTATAAATATATTTATGCATGCTTATGCAAACAGCTCCATGCTCGCAATAGATAGAGAAAACAAAGGTAAATAATGCAGTCAACACTCAACAAACATAATAAATAAAAATAAGGAAAGCAGAAAGTCTTATTCATGTTTTCAATCAACAGAGCATGTTAGATAATTGAAAAGACCTTTTTTAAACAAAAAACGTAGTATTCAGAAACTATAACTGAGAATACCTCCAAATTTCGGATCATTTGCTGCCCAAAAGCATCATTTGGGTGAATCTGTCACATGTGTTCGAAAACCGAAGACAAACATGTAATTACAGTAAAAGGTCAAAGATGCAAAAGTATGAGGGTTTATAGACTTCGCTTACCTGCTCATATAAAAAAAACACTGCTGTGGAGAAAGTTTGTGAAGCCCATCCAACAATAGCACGGCTGGAATCTGGATCTATGTATATCAGAACACATTCTGCAATTATAAATGTTGGCAAACTGATAGCAACATCAGAATGGTGAAAGTTACTCATCATACAAGAATAATCTCAACTGAACATAAAATGCAATCATGCTGAGAGCATGAGCATAGAACGATATCGGTTTATAAATGCTCTATACATACTTTGGAAAAATTATACTTAAAGATAGTTGAAACCTTTTAGATTACTTAGTAAATTGATGTGTAGTATGGAATTAGTTAAAAACTAATTCCTAATCCATATTTGATAGTTGTAAGCACATCTAAATGGGTCATATATTAAAGATTAATGGTGGTTCATGACTCATGAGTGCATCGTCAATTTATAAAATTTCGAGGCAATCTTAGAGCACTATACAATAAGGGCCTGTTTTATTTACATCAAAATTCTGATAATTTTCTAAAATCCTGTCTGGTTTAAATGTTTCTGATTTTATCTAGCTTTATCTGAAAGTCTCTATCAAATGTTTCCAATCTTGCCTAATTTTCTTGTTTAAGTATAACATCTGGTCTAGTCTGACCAGCTAATTGTAACAGTAAAATTCATTTTGAGACAAACAGTAAATAATAGTACTAAGCAAAAAAATACGGTGAACATAACAGCACCTAAGTTTATCTAATATAATAACATATTACATACCTTGGGTCTATATTTGCCAAAGCTACAATGTCATTTAGTTTATTGATGTCACACAAATCAACAGGGAGCAATTTGTAATGTTCACCAAGAATTTCTCCCCTCTCTGCACAACTTAAAGAATAAAATCAGACTAGCAATAGCATCAAAATCTTTCCCAAGTGTTTAGTGCCTCTTTAAGCTTCTTTATGGATAAGCCTGAACACCTGATTTGTTTTTTTAAAAAATGCAGCGTAAAGAGGGGTGAAGGCAGCCCATTGAAAAAGAACATCTCATTTACGAAAAAGGCAACACTGCTGAATAAGAGATTAAGAGCAAAATATAAAAACCATATTCTATTGCAAACTTATGCTCAACGATGAACCAAATATATGAAATGGTGAAAGATAATTACTCATAGTGAGGACTAGAAATGGCTATTGTGAGTTTCAATGATAATATTGGTAATGTTCTGATTGTGGATGCATTTAGGGAAATCTCATCAATGCATTTTGAAATACAACAAGGCAGTAGGAGTCAGCAACCCCTTAGTCTCCTATTCCTGTCAATGTTATGATTTGTTTTGTATTTCAAAATATTCCTTTAGTAAGGTTTATTAGTGTTATCCATGTTATTTTTTTTGTACTTTGTTATATTCCTCTAGTAAGATATACTAGTATTATCCTTTAGATTCTTCACCAACAAACAACAAAAAACTAGTATGATCCCAATTCCATTGTTGTAGGGGGAAGGTTAAGATGTGTGAACTATGAAGTCTTACCCTGCAAAACAAGGAGGTTGTTTTCCTTAGACCCTTGATACATTGTCGCATTTACTACCCAAAACTTTAGGCAAGGAGCAAAGGCAATTTAATGTGCCATTTTGATTTAGTCCATTATTTACCCGAAGCTAAAAAATGTCAATAATGGCTCTTTTAGCCTCATTGTCTATGTTAAAGAGATCTTAATGCAACAATTCAAATAGGAATTGTACAAGAGCACATACTGAAGCTCTTGCTGAATTGTTATTAGGTTCAATAATGAATGAACAATGGCAGACAAAAATGCATTGGAAGCGACTCACACACTGGAAAGGGCTCTGTGCATTCATTCTCCTACTTTCATGAACACCTTTCTCAGACATATCATGTCCGAATGACACCCTATGCAAATTATGGTGGCGTTAGTTTCAACTTTCAATGGCTATGAAAGATGGCAAAGAAAAGCAGGGACACAAGTAGGACCACCTCTTTTGGTTTAAGTTACACATGAAGAATTGGAACTTGGAAAAGAAAGGTGAATCAGTTTGCAAAAGGCAAGCTTCATGTTATTATAGGGAGTGATGGCATGGATGCATTTGTGAAAATACCTATCAGCACATGGGGACTTATACTCATATAGTCATATTTATCTTCAAGTTCAGCTTAGTATTATATCCCTCTAGTTAGATTGAATGGTATTATCTAAATTAGATTAGGATTTAGGACTTAGTTACATTCTTGTATAATACTCCGTATTCTATTATGAGTTATGAATTCCACAAGGCCACGTTTTTCTCTCTGGTTCTTCACCATAAGTCAGAAGTAATGTTCTACCTCTTCACCTGCCAACACATCTTTGCACAACTCCTCGAACATGCCTCAGAGAAGAGTGTGTTTGAACTCTTACAAAGTTACCAAATAATTTTTTTTAAGGAATGAGTCAATTAAAATACTCTTACTTGTCCTTACACAAAAAAAATAAATTATTACTTGTATCAAGTGAAGTGTTGTTAGATCATACATAACTAGAAAATATATAGTGAATCAGAAAGGACATTTGGAATAGCTACATGTTGAGGCTGAGCTAATGTGCGATTACTTGAATCACATGAAAGAAATTGGCAGAACCATAAGAGACAGAGGAATCTACTACATATTTGAAAGGGCCTCAAGAAAGAAATATTCGATTCATGAAATTCAATAAAAAAAAAAGCTAATAAAGAAGCTTGCCAAATTCGTTGAGATTGTGAAACTGATTTGCATCACATGATAGAGTTCTAGAACTACTGCAAGACACAAATTAGAACATTCTAACCGGTAAAGATACAGAAATGCAAGATAGTAGAGAAAGAAATATCACTAACGAAAAAATAAAAAGGCCATAATGCATACACCCCACTATACATACCTTACCCCTAGAACCCTAAACACACAAGCAAAAGAAAGGAAACACTCAGTAACCCAACTACCCTACAACTATTATCTTCGACGTTGGACTTCCAAACTCTTCTATGTAAGGCCATGTCCTTGGTGAGATATAGAAGCCTCATGCCATATCTAACCACCTTGCCTCATGTCATGCCCACCTCTGCCTCTCCTCGAATTCCCTATTGCACCTAACCACCTTAACCATGTTTTATGCATCATATCCTCAACTGAAGTCATTCACACCTTGTCCTGAATATAACTGTTCCTAGCCATATCCTTCCTGGACCCTAGTTAGTCCACACCTGCCACATATGACTCTTAAAGCAAGCTTCCATTCCATACAACCCACTCCAATATTCAACTTTCGACTCAGGTTGTATACTGCTGAAATTGCAGTCCATGTACAGTCTTGGGCATGTAGCTTTGAAACTTTTAGACTCCAGGGTTTGCCTCCACACCTCCAATCTATCATTAACTCCCTCACATGTTTCGTCAATTATAACAATATTCTCGGCATATAGCATGTATCAAGGTACTTCCCTCGGATATGTTGCATAAATTTATCCATCGCCAAAGTGTATAGAAAAGAACTCAGAGTAGACCCTAGTGTAACTCCATCTCAGACCAAATGATGGTAAAGGATCAGAGTCTCCCTCGTGCCACATCAACCTCACTTTGGGATTGGCTCCACCGTACATGTACTTAATCGATCGAATATATGCTACTGGCATGCCCTTCTTCCCCAAGAAACAGCATAAGACCTCCCTTGGGACTCTTCTGCATGCCTTCTCCATAAGATAGAGTTCTAAGCTTGACTAAATTTTTCTTCTACTTTTCACTTTCATGAATAGCTCATGCTGCATATACAACAACCAAGCTTTATCCCACTAGGTGGGGTCAGCAATAGCTCATGATGAATATATGAACAAGTATTTCTATAATCATGTGTGGCCATAAAAGACATTCAACAAAAAATAGTAATCTCTTTATTTACTAAAGTGGGAATAATCCATTTCTTTTGTGCTTTAGAAGCTCATTCATAAAAAGGTCATCACATACTTTTCACCATTCAAAATTATTCAAAATGTAGAAAGGTCTAGTTTTCTGGTCCCAATATGAAAAAATGTATGAAGAAACTTCAAAAAATACACCTATTTCATGTTATACCTGGAGATATAAATGCAGTTTCACCAACTTTTTCCTTCAACTGAATGCAGTTTTCAATAAGAGATGCTTTTTTTCTCGTCACCTTGAACACAAATATCCAAAAATTACAATTTACACAGACAAATTAATAGTCCATAAGAAAATTTAGGCAGACAAATTAATACAGAGTACTCCATAAGAATATTTCTAATTTAATGCCAAGTGGGGTTAGGGTTAGCAAAGCTGGGAATACAAGGGAATTTAAGCTTGTGGCTTTGAGAATACGGTCATCCTGTGTTTCCTGTCATCACATGCTTGTATCATGGCAACACTAAAGAATTCATAAATCACATCTTGGGTGACCCTGGCTGAAATTGAGCTAGACAGGAATTACTGTATAACCATTGTTCGCATACAGCAGCATCTAGATTGAATACAATTATGTTAAAACTTGTTGGCAAAATAAAAAAATCTACCTTTAAGCCTTCAAATGATATTTGGACTTATTTCCCTATTTTGGAGATTGGATAATACAAGAACTGATATATAATTTCTCCATTGTAGGTTAATGCTTCATGCAGTTTTGTTTGCCACTCGATCTTTAAAAGCTAGGGAACCAGCTAAAAATGAATGAATTGGTATGGGGTTGGCTTGCCTGGAATTTGCAAATGTAGTAGGGTTCTTGTATCGAGCCAAAAAAGTGATGCATATGTTGCAAGGTTACGAATTAGCGTCAGTCAATTTGAAAGGGAAGATTGTTTATTGCCATCAATAATACAGAGTACTTTAATATAGTAAGGCATCCTTCCTATTAGCAATACAACAAAGAAGCCAGTATAAACAGGATCTTCAAATGGCTAGGCACATTTATTCAATCCATACAACAACAAACCAACTCCATTGGGGTCTTATGGTCAAGCATTCAAGATGTACGCAGTCTAAGCTCTATTGCCTCATTTACTACCCAAAATTCATAGAGAGCAAGAAGCAATGGGAATTAAATCTGATTTAAACCATTATTTACCCAATGCTAAAACATTGTCAATAATGACTCTTTTAGCTCCATTGGCAATGGATAACGTTCTCTCAATCCATAAAAGATAATTGACCGTTCGAATGTAAATCTATAGCCAATTAGTCAATAAACTATAAGGAGTATCAAATAATGTCACACCTCAATGAAATCTAGCTCAACATATGTATGTGGTGCCTTCCCTTCATCCTGCAAAGAGAAGAGTAGAAATCATTGAAAAAATCAAATATACTTCCCGTGTCCGAAAATAAAGTTCCCGTTTGCTATTCCACAAAGTTTAAGAAAAGGTGAATTGCATGATTGAGATTTTCTACGGTGAAGAGAGAAATAATGAAAATCATCCCGTGCTTTACTTGAAGAGACTAGTTATTTTGGGATGTCCAAAAAAAGAAAGTGGAAACTTTATTTTAGACAAATTATTTCACGAGAACACGCAACAACAAAAAAATTGCAAAATGCATAACGTTTTATGAAACATAGCCACGCAAGTAATTGTAAATGAAATCAAACATAGCTCACAAGAAAGCTTATGCACCTTCAGCTGAAAATACATTGTGTCAAATCCAGCTCCAAGCGACACTATTTGTTTCTTAGTTTTTTCGCCCGCATTCGGCTCACAGTCAAGAAACTGATACAGAAGCTTCCGTAGTACAGCCCACCGAGCAAAATAACCTTATCACTCAAAATAGTTTCCAGATAGGCAATTGCAAAATACATGAACATTTAAACGTCTACAAGCAAATCCACAATGTCGCCCGGGAGCATTGAAATAATACAGCCGTACCACGATTAATTATTGGAGATCTTCTGACAGGTCTTCTAACAAACAAGTGGACATAATCATCTTTTATGTATCCTTTCTTCATGCAAGATCTTCAATTTAGGCATGTCAATCGAAAGAAAAATTATTTCGGAATAAATAAACAAAGAAATAATTCACAAAAACTCATCTTTCAACCAGAGCGAAGCAAGGAATGCATTAAGTTTCGAGACGTTTTTCATTCAACGATTTTCTGTTCCGGTTATTCTCGGAAAAAATATGTGAAATGGAAATGAATCGTCTTAATGGATGGTAATAGTACAGTTTGCTGGCGGATGCATCATCGTTGGTGGCCTGAACGGCGGCTCTGTTGCTGCGGGACTCCATTACCGGCTTCGCCGTGTCTGAAAAGCTTCAAGGGATATGGTTTTTCCAAACTTTTTTTTATTTTTCCAAACTTAATCACTAGAAATTCTAAACTTCTACGCCTTGTTACATTTGGAGAGCTCAACTGGTCCAAATGTCAAATGTCAAACTTGTTACATCCTGGTAGTACTCATTCTGAAATAAAGTGTGAGGGCACCCGAGGTGAAATTGGTATATGGTACATCCGGATGTACCTAAAAATAATTACATCCCGGTAATACTCATTCTGAAATAAAGTAGTACTCATTCTCGTATAAATATAAACATTCATTTCGAAATACGTAGTACTCATTCCGGCAAAGGTATTACTCATTTTAAAATAAAGAAGTACTCATTTTTACACATATGTCTAATATAATTATAATAAATAGCGTAGTGTTCATTCTTAAAAAAACAATACTCATTCTCAAATAAGGAAATGTTCATTCTGAAATAAAGTATTGTTCAATTTTTTCACAATTAAACAGTTCAGTACCATCATCAACTTCTTCCTCTATTCGATTCGTTTCTACTCATTTATACTCTCTGAGTATGGAGAATTTAAAACTCAAGTTTATTCATGTTTGTATTGAATAAGAATATGATAATTCTTATAAGTGCTGGTACTCCTTCTCAAATCTGCTGATTCTCATTGTCATATATAATAGTTCTCATACATATGTTCTTGGCATTAGTAAAAAGTTTGCAAAATTTACAAAAATACCAGGCTGTACCTAAATGAAGGTACAGCTGGATGTACCATATAATTTGCCCCCGAGGTGGGCGTTTCACCTAAAATATTTCATTTTCTTTGTTTATCTAAAATTTCATTTCTCTATATTAATACACTAGGTTCACACAAGTTCGTATATATTTTAAATTTTAAATATTATATAAATATAATTCAATTTGTTTAATTTTCTTAATGATGATATAATATGTATTTTATAAATATTTTTTAAGTATCACATATGTAGTATATCTATGATGTAATAAAATTTTAATTTAAATATTGATGTACATGTAGCATTAAAACTTTTATAAATCTCTATGTTTGAGAAGTAATAAAAGGAAAATGATGAATAAGTTAAATAAATTATATAACTTTTTGAAATATAAACTATAACTAATTATATGAATGTAAAATATATACTCTATTTTTAAATAGTGAAATGCATATTGGTCTAATACTTAGAAAATAAAAAATTTTATATAGAAGTTATGGTCATTGAATGAAATAATAATGAAAATTGTTTAAATTAATAAAAATTAAATAAAAAATTTTAAATAGACAAATTAAAAAATATAATGATATATCTTCAAAAAATGCATATATGACATATATCATGTGTCAATATTCAATAAAACCAACTTAGCTTTATTTAGTTGGTTGGGAAAATGTAATATGAAGCGAATTCTGATAAATAAATTATGCAATAAATAAAGATGCATATGATAAAAAATTACGGAGTATATAATATGGAGTACGTAGTTTGAGATGTAGTAAGCTGTGAATTGTTTTAAAAGTTATATACAATATTGTTTCATTAAGTAATACACTTTAAATAAATTTTTTAAACAATAAAAAAGTTATGAATGTAAAAAAATGTTATAATATTTAAATAGATATATTTAAAATATCCATAAAGTGAAGGGATTATAAAAATTTAATTAAAAATGGTTATTTAATGTTAGAAAGTAAAGAGTTTTATAAAAAATTAACAATATAACGGTTATTAATGCTAGAAAGTGAAGGAGTTATAAAAATTAATAAAAAACATATATTTGTTGTTCAATCTAAGACTCAATACGTAAGAATGACATGACATGTGACATAGTGTACACGGGCGACGTGAAAAGGTTTATACAAAGTTAATAGTCTGAAAATATTAATAATAATAATAATAACTACCATTAAATAACAACACATAATTTATGTAATAGTTTTTTTAAGATGCATGTGTGATAATATTTATTATACAATACAGTAATTTTTATTGAATTTGTAAACTAAAAGAAATACTCCATCCGTCCCAAAATATTTGTCACACTTGTTTTTTCAGCAGTTGCGGTAACTTTTGTTTATTTCTACGTTTTCATTAGTTATTTGTTAAAATAAAATATTCTTGACACATCTTATTTCGAAGAACTTTTCATGTAGTTTTTTTTTAATGTAAATTTTATTTTTTATTTCTATACCAATATGTAAATAAAATGAATTGAAAAAACTTGATATTTTGCCTCGGGAATACAAGTGTGACAAATATTTAGAGAGAGAGGGAGTACAATGTTGTTTTTTAATTAATAAAGCTTACATTAGTTTAAAAAATAATAATATCATAATTATGCACATTTCAAAACTATTTATCAAAAATATCGTAATTATGCATATTTAAAAACTATGTAACAATAACTTCTTTTTTAGCACAACGGTTCTCTTGACTTTAAAATGAGTTGGAACACCTACGGTGCGTTGATAGTAATTGATAAATCCTACCACCTAACCTCTGTTCAAAAGAGAGCCTTGAACCCCACCTCAGCTCCCGCAGATCATCAATTTTGGCTGCCCAAAGTAGCGATCTAGGGGCACGGGGTAGGGGTAGGGTGATGAATGTTAGGAGCAAGAATCATCAATTTTACCATCAGAGTATAAGATTCTTGCCGTTTTTTTAGAGGTAACAACATAAATAGGTGGATGAGCTAGACTAGAGAAGACAAGACAATTAGTGCTATTAGTAGTATTCCTTTAACCATGAATTCGATCAAGTAAAGTTAGGGTGGAATGGAATACGTGTGAGTTAGTTGTTGTTTATTGTCGGGTGATAGATGAACCAAAGTTGAAGTAACAATTGGATTCAAAAGCATATTGATTCCTTGCTTAGCTCTGTTCTATCTGTCTATATATACTACTATGGTTATATAAACATTCCTTCCAATAATCACAAACAATTGCCCATTCTTCTATATTTTGTCCGGCGGCCGGCGACAAACAACATTATGGGTCTGGTCATGAGCCTCATGGGAAAAGGTGATGAGACTTTATTTATTTTTTAATTGTAAAAAAATTGCTAGCAGACATGTAGCTAGTAGAAACAATAAATAGTGCAACGTTTTTTTATGTGTTGTGAGAAATGAGAACGAAACTGAAGTACAAATATCATTTTCTGAATATTATATTACGCAGTAAGCATATCTAAATTACTATCTTATTTTTGTCTCATCTAAGAAAAACAAGAAAGCAATAATCATAGAGTGATATTGTCATAAAATATGTAGTAATTTCAAATCTTTTTTTAATCTGAAATTATAATGTAAAATTGATATTTGATAAACAAGCTTTAATGCCACACTGCAGGATTGCCCACGGCGCAGATGATGAGTTTTGCCATGGGGACACTATACAAACAGTTTGCTGACAAAGATATCAAGACCTTTCCTGATTTTCACCTTGCAATTCTCGACATTTTCAAGTACAAATAAAATCACATTCACCACCACCAGTGTCTTCTGTACACTTTTTTTTTGTTACTCGAGACATAGCTCAAGTGGTCAATAGAGAATACAAAGTAGTGATGTGATCGGGGTTGACTGCTGGTGAAGGCACTGTGGGACGTTTATGTTTTGCATAACGTTATCGCCTAAACTAGTGATAGATCTCATTTCCTATCGGACGACTTGAGATTATAGTTTTATTTACATTTTTCAGATAATTGTAGAAGAAATAAATTGATCTATAATCTCAGTCACTTGCATTAAGAACTTAGGGTGAGTTTTACTTTTGGTACTTATAGAAGTTCCATGTTTTGCATGGTTGCTTCTCATCGCAGCAACCATACTTCGAACTCGGGATCTCTCTCTTGTATCAATCTTATGCCAACCGCTTACCTCACGGGCCATGATTTTTTCTTAGTTCATACTCTTATATATATGTAGCATCGTGAATGGGGCATTGCCCGGGAAACACTACGACGTGCCGCCATTGAAGGAGGTCCAAGCTTGTTTCGAGGAATGGAAATCGAAAGGGAACGACGAATCCGCGAAGAAGGCGCTGTTCGTCGACTTCATGAAGAGGAGGGTGAAGCTCAGCAAGATGGACGATACCACTCTCATCACCGGACTGGTGACGCCGCCGGCGGCCATGGCGGCGAAGAGATCCGGAGAGAGCGTTCCCCAGCTCAAGCTCATCAAAGCCGTCCCCGACGTCTTGTTCGTGCCGTCCGCCACCGTCCTCGCCCTTGTCTCCGTCAAACTCTCCCGCAAGATGTTCCTCGGAAACGTCGCATCTTCCTAAAGTATTGAATTTTAATTTTAAATTTGTATTCCATGGATATCTTTTTAATACTCTAATTTTAATTCAATTTGCACTCCCTACTTAGTATTTTGGACATTATTGTTTTCCGTTGAAATTCTAAACTTGAATGTTAAAAGAAATTGAAAAGAATTAGAAAAAAAAACGGGAATGAATTGGAAAATATTAAGAAAAATAAAATGTTAAAAAAACATTCAATTAAATGATCATCCAAATAAATATGTAAGAAAATTAATTTTAGATAATTTTTTTTTATCTTAGCCCGTGTTTGAAGTAGTATATTACTCCCTCCGTTCTCAAAAATACTTCCTCTTTTTTTTCACTTCCAATAAAACACTTCCTCTTTTTTTTCCACTTCCAATAAAACACTTCCACTTTCTATTAAAAAACCACTTTTACCCTTACTTTTTCATACCATACCTATCACATCATACTTTATTTCTAATACTCCCTCCGTCCTGAAATGTACTTCCCACTTACTATTCACATGGTCAAATTTTAGTCACTTTCTTTACTTATTTTCATTAGGTATTTGATAAAATAGTATAGTCTTGTCACCACTTGTTTTGTAGAACTTTTGATGTAGTTTTTAAATATATAAATTTTATTTTTTAATTTTACACCTACAATCAAATAAATTGAATTAAAAATAAAGTTGGTCAAACTTCGTAAACAGAACCGGGAAGATCATTATAGGATGGAGGGAGTAATATATCTATCACATCTTACTTTTACCTATCACATCAAGGGCTACAATTTAACACTTTCTTATTTTTACACAAAGTCAAAAGAGAAACAATTTTTTCCAAACGGAGGGAGTATAAATTTGGATATAAGATGTTATTTATATTCAATATCTGTAATTATCTTTTTTGGTCGAATTTATCAATCTTTGATCATCATTTAGTAAATAAGATCGAGTTTGAATTTCAATTACATCCTCAGTCCAAAAAGAACTTTATTTATTGTTTAACTTTACGAAATTAATGAGGTGTTTCTTTATGCTGGTGCTTATTAGCTTATTATCTATAAAAAAAAATTTAACTTATAAGCGGATTATAAGTCAAATATTTTTTCGTAAAAGTAAAATGACTTAAACGATAGATAACTCATTTGGTAATATTCATAAATGGTGAGAATCAATTTTGTAAATAAGCTATTTATTTTTTCTGCCTAACTTATAAGCTAACACATAAATTAAAACCGTTTATAAATAGAGAGAAACACTCAGTAAAAGAGCAATTGAAAACTAAAAACTGTATTGCTAAAATTGACATGGAGAACACTGGATTGGGAAAGGGCGACTCTTTGGATGGGGACAAAAGCTCAAAAATCAAGTGTCTGAATATGATGAGAATGAAGTCTGAAGTCAGTGATCAATGATGCCTTGGACGAATTGCCTTTGTATGCCGGAAGTTGGGAGGAGAAACTTGACGTGTCCTCTTCCTCGATTGATCATTCTAGAGGGATCGAGGAGTATTGGGGAGGACTCAGGGGCGGAGGAGGGGGGGGGGGCATGCCTGGGCAAGTGCCCCCGGGCGAAATTCCGGCGAACTAGCGTTAGTGTACCCGATCGGCGATGGGAGGCCGGATTTGCCCCCAATTGTCCAAAAAAAGGGAGTGGCGCAATAGACTAGAAACGGCGAAAGGCCTGAAGCAATTATTCCTTCTCCACGGTCGGCGAAAGCATCCAAGCAACTATTTTTTCAAACAGCAGCACTGGAGATTGGAGAAGAAATCCAAACGCAGTGGCGCAATAGGCAAGTCGGTCGAACTGTTGAAGGATTCTTGAATTCTTCTGTGCTTCTTCATCCAAACTTCCGATCTTCTCTCATTGTCTAGGTATATGTAAATTTTAATTATCAAATTTTAAAATTTGTTTCTTAATATTTGAAATTTTTGAATATTGCTAAATTATGTTTTGAATTTTGAATATTTATTTTGTTCCGTGATTTTAGTGTGTTTGTTGATATTTAAATATTTGATAAATCTTAATGTAATTTCAAGTTCTAGACATTAAGAAATATGAAATTGTTGTTTCAAGGTTATTGAAATTTTATTTTGTTACTTTATTATTGAATCAGGAAATTTTGAGCCGTGAGATGGATAAATTTGTTATTAGAAAAAAGAAGAATTTAGAATTTGTAAGTGAGAGAGACAATGAAAAATAAGCTTCTTCTTCTATAGAGAAAGAAAGTGTGGTTTCAAATTATGATATTATTGCTGATCCGAGATTACGAAAACCAATTAATAATTTTCCATTGGAAATTAGAGATTTAATAAGGAGAAGATACTTAGCAAAAGGTCCTTGTAAGCTATCGATGGATAAATTTCCACAAAGTTTGACGGGCAAGAACAAAAGACGATTTCAAAGTTATTGGTTTGATAAGTTTAAGTGGTTGGAGTATAGTGTCGCCAAGGATAGAGCATATTGTTTGCATTGTTAAGATACTTTCTATTATACTATTATGTATTTTGTTTATTTATTAAATGAATTCCCCCCCCCCCCCCCCATGAAGTCTTCCCTCTGGGGAGGACCCGGAGTTACCAAAACTCGAGGTGCTAAGTGCAGCTAGGTCAGGCTTGAATGACAGCGACCTTGCAGCAATTGGGATCAGATGTTCGGGGCTCCTGAAATTCGTCCTCGAGGGAGGGCTGTAATGGAGTCACAATAAGGGGTGTAGAGGAGTGGCAAAAAAAAGTGTAAAAAGTTGAGCGAAATCAAGTTGTGGATGTGTACCCATGTTGATGCCTGTGTTCTTAGGGTTGAACATATAACTGTAGGGTTTCTAATTTTTTTTCTTCTGGTATGTGCACGATCATTTATTGAAGTATAGTTTGGCAGACTTCTTGATCCCTCAGTGAATCCCTTTTATAATGTGGAGCTTGATACCCTTGCAAATTTCAGGTCAGTTTCCTGAGTTGCAGTACGAGAGCTGTAGCTCATATACTATGCAGATTACAGATCCTCTTCTGCAGTTGTATATGATATGTCTGATACTACTATTCACAAGTTCTTGGAGGTTGGAAAAAACTTTTTTCGTTTCCTCTATTAAATTTATTTAAAACGGGAAGCTAAGTGGTTGATCTCCAAGTCTTTTCTGTGGTTGATCTACATTGGTAAATATGATCATTTGGAGGAGCTTAACATGAAGCAATGTCCCACAATATGGGAGTTTTGCTGTTGCTTTATTGTCTAACAATGTTTGATGACTCACTTAGGGTTGTTTTCTTTTTTGGGATCATTTAGTTATTAATAAAGATGACATTAAAGATAACATGGTGAGTGCATCACAAGAATTCTTTCTAGGGATTAAAGTACCTCAAGCATATGGGAGTACATTTGTAACTTTAATCCCAAAAAAATGGAAGATCCATTGATGATCAAATCCTATTGACTAAAGAAATGGCTCATGAACCGAAGGGAGATGTAAGAGGTGGCAATGTCATAATTAAAATTGATACGGCTAAAGCTTTTTTGATAAGATTAGCTGGAGATATTTTAAAGAGGTGATGGACATATTTGGATTCAACTCCAAAGCCATTAATATGTTTCTTTTTCTAATTTAGAGGTCACTAAATTTTCCCTACTTATTGATGGAAAACCTGAAGGTTTTTTCAACATTATAAGGTTTTTTACTTTTCATAATTGGCAGTGAAGGGTTTAGCACAAAATTGAAGGCAGAAGTACAATCTCATCATATTTCTAGTTTTTATGCTGGCAGAGTCCCTATTGTGTCACACCTTGCATATGTTGATGACCTATCCTAGTTATCTTTACTAATGGTGATGTGAGAAACTTGCTGAGAGTGAGAAACTTACTTAAGGAATATCTTGATGCCTCAAGTTCAGTTAGCAAATTGGTACTGCTATAAGTTATTGTATCTTCTGGTTAAAGAAATTGATAATGGTTGAGGCATACTATTTTACACAAGACTCCAGATTGATTAGATTATAATCCAGAATATAGAATGCCCTACTCCTAAATACAACACCTACTGTTAAGGCACAATTATGATTTACTAACTTAGACATCAATTGGTGGAATTCACTAGGAATCACAGTAGATAAACTTGTCAAGATGAACACTCAAACAATTAGACACCTCATATCATATGCAAGTAGAAACTAAGGATTTTCAGAGAAAATATTTTGACAGAATTTCAAAAACCCAAACTTAGACAGTGAAAGGATTTACCTTGGAAGGGGTTCCCACCAAAAAATGTGAATCAAGATTAATAAATTCAAATCCTGAATATATATGAAATAAAGGGTTGGTTTTTTCATATATAAAGAACAAAACCCTAACAAAGATGAAAAATATGTCTTGTATCTTGATGAGATGAAAAATGATTCTTGCAACTTGTCAAAACAGGGAAGTATATAATGTATACAAACAGGAAGAAACAAACTCTAACAAACTAGTGTCCCCCCTAAACTATACACCCAAGCTGGAAGAACAACCTTTTCAGTTTTTCAGTAAGCTCGGAGTTAAGAAATGTTATTCTCCTTAGTGACAGGCAAGAGAATACAATATGTTCAACTACACCGTCATCATCTGGTCCCGATCGCTGAAAGGCCGTTGTCGTTAAACCCTGACCTAGCCGCGCTTAGGACCTCGAGTTTTGGAAACTCTAGGCCCTCCCCAATACTTTCAATCCCTATACAGTCATCAAACTTTAAGCTTCTGATCTCGAAACAGATCTAGATACCTCTAGTAATGCCTTCTTTAGATACACCCGTGGAAGAAGACATGTCAAGTGTTTCCAACTTCCGGCAGATATAGGAAATCTATTCAAGACATTTATTCCCAACTTCGGTATTCATTTTCATATTGAGGCATGTGATTTTTGAGCTCTTTTCACAGTTCTACAGAATTGCGAGAAGACTTCTTGATCCCTTCTTAGTCCTTCTATAGAACTGTGAAAAGACTTCTTGATCCCTTCTTGATCCTTCTATAGAACTGTGAAAAGACTTCAAGATCCTATCATCAGCGGTATTCTCCCTAAATTGTTTGAGCGTTTCCCCAACATTGTTTCTCTTGATTTGAGCCATTTCTGTGGCGAAATCAATACATTATTCTCTCAAGTCCAGAATCACTTGTTAAATCTTGAAAAATTGGATATTTCAAACCAGACCCAAATCCTTGAGTTGAATGATTCTGGTTCT